GGGGGGGCTGCCAGTCCCAGGTAAGGGTGGGGTTCATTTACGCACAAAGGCAGCCTTTCCGAACCCCTCTTGTTTGCTGGCCAGAGTTGCCAGCACTCATTTCGGACACAGAGGAAGTCTCCAGCTTTGATACGTGGGGAGATTGCCTTGAAAACGCACCGGGGGGTAACTCACAGCTACCTGAGTTTGAAGACAGTCTGAGCTGAGTGGGCAGATCTGTCCCGGAGCATCTTAACAGCTGTCAGCTTGATCGTGAAAACCTCAAAAACGGCTCCTTCTTTCTCTTGCCAGACGGGAGAGAGAGAGAGTAATAATGAGGGGAGAGATCTACACAATCTTCTCTGAGTGGCAGCTTGTTTTGGGTAGGGTCTACAGTAAATATGGCAGCTGCAGGGGGGGCTTTCCTTGAGCCGGGAGTTCGGCTGGGCAGAGCCTGGGAAGATGAGACGGGGCGGAAGGGAACCGACGGGGAATCAGGTGCGGGGGCTCTGGGCAGGATTCCCGGGGAAGAATTCCTTGGGCTCTGGACCATACGCCTATTGTGCTAATACAAAGCACTGAAGGGCAGACAAGTGCCACCCCCCACCTGTGAAACAGGGTTAATATTCATTTCCTTGTCTGGTCTACTTTGGGAGGTCTTTGGTGAAGTGCCAGGCTCTCGCTGTGTCTGTGCAGCACCTGGCACAACAGGGCCCTGATCCCAGCTGTGGCAGGGCCTGTCCCTCGCTGTGTCTGTGCAGCGCCCGGCACAATGGGGCCCTGATCCCAGCTGGGGCAGGGTCTGTCTCTCGCTGTGTCTGTGCAGCGCCCGGCACAACGGGCCCCTGATCTCAGCTGGGGCAGGGTCTGTCTCTCGCTGTGTCTGTGCAGCGCCCGGCACAACGGGGCCCTGATCTCAGCTGGGGCAGGGACTGTCTCTCGCTGTGTCTGTGCAGCGCCCGGCACAACGGGACCCTGATCTCAGCTGGGGCAGGGACTGTCTCTCGCTGTGTCTGTGCAGCGCCCGGCACAACGGGGCCCTGATCTCAGCTGGGGCAGGGTCTGTCTCTCGCTGTGTCTGTGCAGCGCCCAGCACAGCGGGGCCCTGATCTCAGCTGGGGCAGGGTCTGTCTCTTGCTGTGTCTGTGCAGCGCCCGGCACAACGGGGCCCTGATCTCCATTTGGGTGTGTAGTACCATGAAACAACTATTCCTACTAGGCTCTGAAGGTGAGTGCCGGGGAGATATAAGTCTCCAAGGAGGAGCCACGTTAGTCTGTAACATTGATAACAACAAGTGGTCCTGGGGTACCTTAGAGACTTACCAAAATATATGGACTCGTGAGCTTTCGTGGGTAAAGAAGTGGGTTTTACCCATGAAGGCTCATGCTACTAGACACATTTTTTGTAAGTCTTTAAGGGGCCATGGGATTACTCGTCGTTGGGAAATAGAAATGCATTCCAGTTTTCTCCCCAGCCGCAGAGAAATGCCCTGATTTGCCCTATGTCCCACTGGAAATAAAACCCAGCTCCCTCTACACTGGCCGCGAGTATTTGCGTAAGAACACTGACGTTCTACTGTATGAAATCAGTGCTTCTTGCGCAAATACTCTGCGCTCCCACTCAGGGATAAGTCCTCTTGCGCAAGTGTTCTTGCACAAAAAGCCAGTGTAGACAGGTAACATCAATTTCTTGCGCAAGAAAGCCCGATGGCTAAAATGGCCATCGGAGCTTTCTTGCACAAGAGAGTGTCTACACTGGCACGGATGCTTGGCACATGCCAGTATAGACGCTCTCTTACTCAAATACTCTCATGCAAAAACTCTTGTGTTTAGAGTATTTGCGCAAAATCTTGACAGTCTAGACGTAGCCTCAGTGTTTAAGTTCCACAACTCCTAAAAACATAATTGTTGTATTTATATTAGAAATACTTAGATTCTGGCACCTATTTTCATCCATTTTGTACTTTTATAGGGGAGTTGGGAATTCCCCTGATGTAGGGAATCCCCACATGATGTAAGGACAGTAAAAGAGTATTCCTGGGTGAATTAGAGAAAAATGAATGACTGGCATACAGTTTGCCCTTAGGGAATCATTCTATATAGAGTCCGAATGTGTCCCTTGGAAACAGGAGCAGGGTCTAGTAGGTTACAGCAGGGAGTAGCGATGGAGCCCGAGAGTCCTGAGAGTCTCTGTTACTCGCTGAAAAGAGAAAACGTAAGACGTTATATTAAAATTTTAAAACTAACTCGCATTCCTTAAGTGACTTGCCACATGGTGTCAGAACATGTTAGTGTTACAGCTGAGCGGGTCTCATATTTATTGACATTTTCATTCTTTATATAGGAGTTAGATACAGTGCTCCTGTCAGCTAACTCCTATGTTATGTGCCCAAGAAAACCCCTTGAGTTTTCCAGTGCCTTAGCAGCCCTAGAAGGAGGTGATATGTGTGTGGGGGGAGGGGGAATGGAATCACTTCCCCCTCCCTCGCTCCAATTTGCTGTTTGGCACTGCTGAAGCCGCTGTCCACCGTCTGCTCTCCCATGCTCTCACTCTCTGCCTTCCCCCTAACACGACATGCAGAGGTTGGGATCTGCTCCCCCTCCCAAATTTGAAATGTGCCCCTGCTGGGTCGGCCAGGCACTGACCCAGGCGAGGGAAGGCAAAGGCAGGGTGGGGACGACTGCATGCAGATTGGTCATCCCATTCAAAAATATATAGTGGGTTTAGAAAAGGTACAGAAAGGGCAACAGGAATGATTAGGGGTAAGGAACAACTTCCATATAAGCAGAGATTAACAAGACTGGGACTTTTCAGCTTGGAAAATAAATGACTAAACAATGGGAGGATTTGTTAGAAGTCTAGAAAATCATGAACGGTGTGGGAAATAGAATAAGGAAATGTGATTTATTCCTTCACTCACATCACACAAAAAGTTCATCCAATGACATTTATAGGCAGCAGATATAAAACAAATTATTTCTCCACTGTTAACCTGTGGAACTCTTTGCCAGGTGATAGTGGAAAGGCCCAAACCATAACAGGGTTCCAATAAGGACAAAATTAATTCATGGAGGATAGACCCATCAATTGCTACTAGCCAGAATGGGCAAGGATGGTGTCCCTAGATTCTTTTTGCCAGAAGCTGGGAATGGGCAACAGGGGAGGGATCATTTGATGATTCTTTGTTCTGTTCATGCCTTCTGAAGCCCCGAGCATTGGCCACTGTGGGCAGACAGGACACTGGGCTAGATGGACAACTGGTCTGACCCACTCTGGCTGCTCTGATCTTATATAGAGTCCGAATGTGTCCCTTGGAAACAGGAGCAGGGTCTAGTAGGTTACAGCAGGGAGTAGCGATGGAGCCCGAGAGTCCTGAGAGTCTCTGTTACTCGCTGAAAAGAGAAAACGTAAGACGTTATATTAAAATTTTAAAACTAACTCGCATTCCTTAAGTGACTTGCCACATGGTGTCAGAACATGTTAGTGTTACAGCTGAGCGGGTCTCATATTTATTGACATTTTCATTCTTTATATAGGAGTTAGATACAGTGCTCCTGTCAGCTAAAGCCTATGTTATGTGCCCAAGAAAACCCCTTGAGTTTTCCAGTGCCTTAGCAGCCCTAGAAGGAGGTGATATGTGTGTGGGGGGAGGGGGAATGGAATCACTTCCCCCTCCCTCGCTCCAATTTGCTGCTTGGCTTGTACTGAGCATGCTCAGTAACACGGCTGAAGCCGCTGTCCACCGTCTGCTCTCCCATGCTCTCACTCTCTGCCTTCCCCCTAACACGACATGCAGAGGTTGGGATCTGCTCCCCCTCCCAAATTTGAAATGCGCCCCTGCTGGGCCGGCCAGGCACTGACCCAAGCAAGGGAAGGCAAAGGCAGGGTGGGGACTTGGAAGGAGAACGTGGAGGGGTTGGTATTTATACAAGACACTCTTCTCATCCTCCCCGTCCAGCACATGCCCAGGAAGAGCTCCCAGGAGTGACGCCCACTGTTGAGATCCTCACAACCGGAGCAGCCACCTCCCCTCCGCAGGACACCGTGTCCAGAGTCACCAGTTCCCCTCCGCAGGACACCGTGTCCGGAGTCACCAGTTCCCCTCTGCAGAGCGGCACGACCAGAGCCGCCACCTCCCCTTTGCAGGGTGCCATGTCCAGAGTCACCAGTTCCCCTCCGCAGGACACCGTGTCCGGAGTCACCAGTTCCCCTCTGCAGGGCCCCGTGACCGGAGTCGCCACCTCCCCTCCACAGGACGCCGTGTCCAGAGTCACCAGTTCCCCTCCGCAGGACACCGTGTCCAGAGTCACCAGTTCCCCTCCGCAGGACACCGTGTCCAGAGTCACCAGTTCCCCTCCGCAGGACACCGTGTCCAGAGTCACCAGTTCCCCTCCGCAGGACACCGTGTCCAGAGTCACCAGTTCCCCTCCGCAGGACACCGTGTCCAGAGTCACCAGTTCCCCTCCGCAGGACACCGTGTCCAGAGTCACCAGTTCCCCTCCGCAGGACACCGTGTCCAGAGTCACCAGTTCCCCTCCGCAGGACACCGTGTCCAGAGTCACCAGTTCCCGCAGGGCGCCGTGACTGGAGATGCCACCTCCCCTCCGCAGGGCGCTGTGACCAGAGATGCCACCTCCCCTCCCGATTCCACTTCCTCTGCCCCAGCTCTCACCGCTCAGGACAGCACTACGCCTGGAATAGCCAGCTCAGCCGCCTTGGCTCCCGGCATCCCTGATGCCAGCGCAGCCTCTGCCCCCAGCACCGCAGCTCCCCCCAGAACCGGTACGGTGACTGCTCAGGTGTGGCCAGGGAGCGCACTGTGCCCACAGCAATGGCGTGACAGTGACAGGACACATTGCAGCTCCCCTCCCAAGGGTGTGGGGCCCCGTCCCGTCACTCACACACAGCGCTAGCAAGACTTTATTGAACGGTCTCGCCCATATCTCCGGGGCGCTCCCAGATCTCCCGGAGCCGCTCACAGCCATGGCTAGGGATGGCTGGGTCGAGCTGTAGGTGAAAATAGTTTCGTCGTCAAATGGCTGGTGTGAATGGGACACAGTTCCACTGAGTCAATGGGGCCAGATCCCAGCTGGTATGAATGGGCCACAGTTCCACTGAGTCAATGGGGCCAGATCCCAGCTGGTATGAATGGGCCACAGTTCCACTGAGTCAATGGGGCCAGATCCCAGCTGGTATGAATGGGCCACAGTTCCACTGAGTCAATGGGGCCAGATCCCAGCTGGTATGAATGGGCCACAGTTCCACTGAGTCAATGGGGCCAGATCCCAGCTGGTATGAATGGGCCACAGTTCCACTGAGTCAATGGGGCCAGATCCCAGCTGGTATGAATGGGCCACAGTTCCACTGAGTCAATGGGGCCAGATCCCAGCTGGCATGAATGGGCCACAGTTCCACTGAGTCAATGGGGCCAGATCCCAGTGGGTCATGGTTCTACTGAGTCAATGGGGCCAGATTCCAGTTTGTGTGAATGGGCTATGGTTCCATTGGCATCAGCATGGCCAGATCCCAGCTGGTGTGAAGTAGTGGCAGTAGTAGACTGTTATCCTCCAATGGGTGATTCGCAGGAAGGGCTGTGACTCAGTTTACCAGTCTGTTCCTTTTTCTCTTGCTGAACAGTGATTGCAGAGGAAATGTTTCTGGCCCTGCTATATAGAATTGGCCCTTTCTGTCTTTCTTCTCCCCAGCCTCAGCCGTCAGCGGACTGCCATATTGGGCCGTCATCCTCATCTGCTTGGCTGCTGCCTTTGTCCTCCTCGTGCTGCTCTTCCTCCTGTGGGTTGTAAGTATCTAAGCTGTGGTGGGAAGGGGGATTCCCTACAACCAGTGCTTTTTTTGTTTTTTAAAAAAAGTGCCAGTACTCCAGGGGAAAGGTTGTTAAGAAAAAAAAAAGCCGGGGTGGGGCCGGCATTGCCCTTTTAAGAGATGCGGCCCCTTTAAGACACCTGGCCTAGCCGACTGTGTACAGAGGTGCTGGTACATTCCGTTCTTTCCAGGCAAACTCTGATTGGAGGTGCCGGTACCGTGCACCGGGCAGTACGTCACAAAAAAAGCATTGCCTATAACCCTCATTCCATGAGGGTCAAGGGACTTGTTGGAATAGCACTTTATTTCAAAATTAGACCAAAATAAGATGCACAATTTGCATAGCTCAAATTGCGTATCTTATTTCGACCTACGGGTGCAGCGTAGATGCTGAGTGACTCCGGTGTGAATCCAGAGTGACTCCACTGATGTCAATGGAGTTAAGGCTGGATTCTGATCTCAGTAACCCTGTGGCTGTGTCTAGACTGGCAAGTTTTTCTGCAAAATCATCTGCTTTTGCGGAAAAACGTACCAGCTGTCTACACTGGCCCCTTTGCGCAAAAGTCTTTCGGAAAAAGACTTTTGCCCGAATGGGAGCAGCATCGTATTTCCGCAAAAACACTGACAATCTTACATGAGAGCGTCAGTGCTTTTGCGGAAATTCAAGCGGCCAGTGTAGACAGCTGGTACGTTTTTCCGCAAAAGCACTTTTTGCGGAAAAGTGTCCATGGCCAATCTAGACGCGCTTTTCCGAAAATGCTTTGAACGGAAAACTTATCCGTTAAAAGCATTTCCGGAAAATCATGCCAGTGTAGACGTAGCCTGTATGAATCCAGAGTGACTCCACTGATGGAGTCAGGGCTCGATTTTGATCTGAGTGATCCTGGTGTGAATCGAGTGACTCCAGTGATCGTGATGGAGTCAGGGCTGGATTCTCATAGAAATTTGACGGGGGGTAAATCCAGAGGCACCCCAACACACCCAGTGGAGTCTGAGCTGGTTTCTTATCTCAGTCACACCAAAATCCACTGATTCCAAAGGATATATTACAGTTTATTGTGTCGCAGCTGTTTGCAATAACACATTATGGCCCATAACCACTTACTTGGTAGACCTGGGTGGAATACCGGCCTTACTTACACCAGTGTAAATACACTAATTTCTTTGGAGTCACTCCAGATTTGGAGTAGGGTTACTGAAATCAGAATCAGCCTCTGACTCCAGCAATTACAGGGGGGAGGGTCATTCCAGATGTACACCAGGAAATCAATATCCAGCTCCTGATTCTGTTGACATTAGTGGAGTCACTCCGGATTCACCAAGATCAGAATCCAGCCCTGAGATTCCATTGACATCAGTGGAGGGATTCCAGATTCACATTGTGGTCAATTAGTTCAGAATGCAACTGTTGATATTAGTGGAGTCACTCCACAGTCACTTTGTGGTTACTAAGATCAGAATCCAAGATGAGTGGGAGCACTCCGGATTGACACTGGGGTCACTAAAATCAGAATCCAGCCCTGGTTCCACTGACATTAGTGGAGTCACTCCAGATTCACATTAGGTCGGGGGCGTCTCCTTGGCATCTTGACGCCATCGATATTAGTGGAGTCACTCCAGATTCACACCGGGATCACCAAGATCAGAATCCAGCCCTCACTCCACTGACATTAGTGGAGTCACTCCAGATTCACATTAGGTCGGGGGCGTCTCCTTGGCATCCTGACGCCATTGATATTAGTGGAGTCACTCCAGATTCACATCGGGATCACCAAGATCAGATGGCATCCTGACGCCATTGATATTAGTGGAGTCACTCCAGATTCACATTAGGTCGGGGGCGTCTCCTTGGCATCCTGACGCCATTGATATTAGTGGAGTCACTCCAGATTCACATTAGGTCGGGGGCGTCTCCTTGGCATCCTGACGCCATTGATATTAGTGGAGTCACTCCAGATTCACATTAGGTCGGGGGCGTCTCCTTGGCATCCTGACGCCATTGATATTAGTGCACTTTGAGATCAGAATCCAGCCCTGATTCCACTGACTCTCTTAGCCTGGCCCCATTAATGAACCAAGTCTCCCCGTCTTGTTTCAGATCGCAAGATGCCCGCTGAAAAAACGTACCCAACCAACCGCCTACTTTGTGCACAACAGACACAGGGCGACTGAGTCTGGCATAGAGCTAGAGAGCTCATGAGGGAACTGGAGACACAAGAGAGGAGGAAGCGGGGAGCCCAGTAGAAAGATAGAGGGATGCAAAGACCTACCGACCCTGCACATGGGAAATCTACTCTGAGCTTCTCTCCTCCCCCACACAGACTCATTCCTCCAGTTATGGGGCGGAGGGGGGGTCAACATATTTAAAAAGAGGCACCTCCCACTCGGTTCCTTCAGGATTTGGTTTCTAACGCCCTTACGTATTAGGGTATGTCTACACTAGAAAGTTAGTTCGAACTAACGGACGTTAGTTCGAACTAACTTTCCTATGCGCTACACTAGCGCTCCGCTAGTTCGAATTTGAATCGAACTAGCGGAGCGCTTAGTTCGAACTAGGTAAACCTCATTTTACGAGGACTAACGCCTAGTTCGAACTAGCTAGTTCGAACTAAGGGCTGTGTAGCCCTTTAGTTCGAACTAGTGGGAGGCTAAGGCTTCCCAGGTTTCCCTGGTGGCCACTCTGGCCAACACCAGGGAAACTCTATGCCCCCCTCCCGGCCCCGGACCCCTTAAAGGGGCACGGGCTGGCTACGGTGCCCGTGCCAGGTGCAAGCCTGCCAGCACCCAGCTAGCAGACCCTGCACCTGGCACGGCACAGAGCCACCCACCCGATGCCCCCCAGCCCACCCCCTCTTGCCGGGACCAGGCTGGCGGCTCCCGGGAGCTTGCCCTGGACCGCAAGAGGCGGGCACCTTCCTGGGCTAGTGCGGACATCGTGGACCTCGTCCACGATCTCCGCACTAGGCACAGGAAAGTGGCCGTCTAGGGCAGGAGAGCTGCCAGCCTGGCCACCCAGGACCAGGTGTGCATGAAAATCAAGGGGGTCCACTGAGACCCCCGACCCTGAGCCCTGAGCTTACAATGGCCGTACTGGGTCAGACCAAAGGTCCATCTAGCCCAGTAGCCTGTCTGCCGACAGCGGCCAACCCTAGGGACC